CCATTGTATGTCCATGGCTCCTTTATCAAATATTAATTGACCATATATGTCTGGGTTAATGTCTGGATTCTCTAGTCTGTTCCATTGGTCTGTGGCTCTGTTCTTGTGCCAGTACCAAATTGTCTTGATTACTATGGCTTTATAATAGAGCTTGAAGTTGGGGAGTGAGATCCCCCCTACTTTATTCTTCTTTCTCAGCATTGCTTTGGCTATTCTGATGTGTTTTTGAATTTGGTTTGTTAATATTTTGTTGAGTATTTTTGCATCTATGTTCATCATGGTTATTGGTCTGTAATTTTCTTTTTTTGTGATGTCTTTACCTGGTTTTGGTATTGGGTGATGTTGGCGTCAGAGAATGAGTTTGGAAGTATTTTCATCTCTTCCACTTTTTGGAAAACTTTAAGGAGGATGGATATTAGGTCTTCACTAAATATTTGATAAAATTCAGCAGTGAAGCCATCTGGTACAGGCATTTTGTTCTTAGGTAGTTTTTTGATTACCAGTTCAATTTTGTTGCTAGTAATTGGTCTGTTCAGATTTTGTTTCTGGGTCAGCCTTGGAAGGTTGCATTTTTCTAGAAAGTTCTCCATTTCTTCTAGGTTATCCAGTTTGTTACCATATTATTTTTCATAGTATTCTCTAATAATTATTTGTATTTCTGTGATATCTGTAGTGATTTTTCCTTTCTAATTTTTTATTCTGTTTATGTGTGTAGACTCTTTTTTTCTTAATAAGTCTGGCTATGGGTTTATCTGTTTTGTTTATTTTCTTGAAGAAGCAGCTCCTGCTTTCGTTGATTTTTTCTATTGTTTAATTCTTCTTGATTTTATTTATTTCTGCTCTAATATTTGTTATGTCCCTCCTACTGACTTTTTGCCTCACTTGTTCTTCTTTTTCTAGTTTTGTTAATTGTGAGGTTAGATTGTTCATATGGGATTGTTCTTCTTTCCTCAGGTAGGCCTGTATTGCAGTATACTTCCCTCTTAGCATGGCATTTGCTGCATCCCATAGATTTTGCGGTTTTGAATTATTGTTGTCATTTGTCTCCATATATTGTTTGATCTCTGTTTTTATTTGATCCCTTGGTTATTTAGGAACATGTTGTTAAGCCTCCATGTGTTTTGGGGCTTTTTCATTTTCTTTGAGTAATTCATTTCTAGTTTCATACCTTTGTGGTCTAAGAAGCTGGTTGGTACAATTTCAATCTTTTTGAATTTACCGAGGCTCTTTTTGTGGGCTAGTACAACCTCTCATTCTTTAGAACAATGGTTCTTCACTAAGGTGTCATGAAGCAAGAGCCCTACCCCAGAATCTCAAGCTCTGTCAAGTTAAAAAAAATAAATCCATGGACAGCTTTTGGTGTATATTCTTGCTTATAATTATCTATGGCAACCCTGTTACTCAAAACTATATCCCCTTTTAAAGTTTGGGACTATTTTAGCACCAACATAGACCTGCATCAAGTGTCTATGTGCTTAGTACTTTGCAGTAGATCTCACTGGAGCAAATACTAAGGAGTATATTTGGGTTGTCATAGTGATTGGGGAAGGTAGACTGGTGGTGTTTGGTGAGATGTTGGCTGTCTAGAAATGTGAGACGATTTTATATAACAAAAGATTTTCTTATGGCCTATGTGTGACTTTTGAATGTATCATCAAATATAAATCAGTAACCCTCTAATATGTAATACTAAGACATTTTTTTACAAGAAGTTATCCAAAAAGGTCAATAGCTCATGTTCTTTCAAAACCAAATTCTTCAAAATCTCAATTATGACATAAATTATAAATTTACTTGTACATTTATAAATTTTAGCTCATCTGATTGTAAAGTTATAATAGGAATGATAGAGGCCTCTGGGAGAAAGCAGAGTTCTTAGAATTTATATTGTGTTTAATCTTGTTTTCTAGAAAGGAGACATATTCAGTATGCGAAGATTTCCCAGATTGTTAAAGAAATATTCAACCAACTAATTTCTAGTCATTCAGAGTACCTGAAGTGTAGCAATTCATTGGCTGCTTTCATAATTCAAAGAGGTAAGTCCAAATCTTTGAGATGTGTTGGTTTGTAGAAAAACTTAAATATCTTAATGATCTGAGTTATATACAGTATTATTTTAATGAAGTATCTTTGTCCCTGTTGACAATGGTGGTGCATTGATTTGAAGTGGCCTTTTCTAGTAAGTGCAGATCATCAAACACAAGATTCTCAAAGGTAGAGATAAACTATACTGACCAGGAAAACTGCAGAATGGTTAAGTGCCTGACATTTTAAACAGCTCTGTTAGATCCATTACCAACCTGAAATTACTCCTTACTATAACATTGAGAAGGTCTCTATAAAAATTAACATATTTTCTTCATTTTCAAGTAAGAGGAGATAACTTCTGTTTTTTCTTGTGGGTCTTATGATGTGATTCCAATTTCATTTTATATTTACCCTGTAATATTCTAGGTTGATCATTAATTGTTTGAATTTTTATTTTTCTATGAATAAGATATTATAGATGATATAGAAACTATTTGAAATTTGGTCCCTATTCTTAGGTTTTATGATTTGGGTGGGATAGAAGGTATATATGCACTGTTGAAAGGCTAGCTGATAAGAGATAAAAATTGTTTTCTATAATCCTATAATGCATCAGAATTCATAGAGAACTGATAGGGCCAAAATCTTCGAGAACAAGTGAGACTTCAGCTGAAACTTTAAAGGATAATAAGGTTTACATAAATAGAGGAAAGGAAGTTATTAGTGGAGAAAGAAAAGAGGGAAGAAAGCAGCATTAAGAAAACTATGTGACGATGAGAAATTTATTGCTAGTGCAGAACATCACATATACAGAACTTAGACAAAATAGTTAGTTTGATGTTACCAGATTATGGAGTGGCTTAAAAGGCAGTCAAAAATTGGATTTAATGAGAAGATAAGCTGTGAAATATTTTTTAAACTTTAGGTAGTTGCAAATGTGAAATTGAATGTTGTTTTCAGTGAGCAAAAGAACAATGAGCTAGTGACTAAGCTATTGAAAAGCTTCATAGGACATAAAGAGGAAAAAGAATTGTGTATCTTCTGAGCATAGAGTTTCAAGGAAATCTCAGATGGAGTACAGCAAAAAGTAAATGGAGCAAAACTACTGGAAAAAGCATAAAGTGCTTGTTTCTTCAAAAAAGCTTCAGTAGAACAGAGAAAGAAACTCCAATTTGGTTTGTAGAGAGTTTGAGTGGATTAAGAAAATTAGAGACATTTTGTATACATAATTTGTTTTAGAAGTAAAATGGTAAATGAAGTTTCTTAGTAAGCCAAATAAATCTAGATGTGTAAGAAATACATAGATATTAAAAAACCCAGGGCATTTGGTGGTTCTTCTAATTGTGGTAACAATTTAGATGAAGTACAAAACATCTGCCTTTTTAATTGAGATATTCAAGTGTTTTTAAAATTTTGTTTCTTAGAAGACTATCAAACTCTTATTTGAAATTGTGGAGTTTTTCCATATTTTGTTCAATATATTTTACTGACTTTAAAATGGTAAGATAGAAATGGAGGTTGAACCTGGGGGGTGGGGTGGTCTAAATAACCTGCTGCTGTTAACTTCTTGTTTTCAGCTGGACAACTTGAAGTTGTAGCTCTAGGCACAGGTGAATACAATTACAGCCAGTGCATTAAGCCAAATGGAAGAGTGTTGCATGATACTCATGCTGTTGTTACAGCAAGAAGGTCTCTCCTTAGGTAAGGTACAGATTATAATGCCAACAAATATTAATGCTCTCAGCCTAAAGTAACCACATATGTAATGTCTTTATTTACAAATGGAGTTATACTGATCATTGAGTCAAGGATCTGACTCTTACTTCTGTAAGCCATTTGGTTATTTCCATGTCATTTTGGAAACATTATAGTAATTGGTGTCCAGTTTGTGGATTGTAGTGGTTTCTGTTACCAAATCCTTATGAACTCAGTTTGAAGAGTCCAGCAACATTAAAAAAAATATTCCATCATTATTATTGATTAAAGCAACTGGAGAGTATAACTTTAGAACTGGGTCAAGTAGGCTTGGTAATATTTCATCCCTGAATTAGTCATACTTATCCAAAGACAGCACCAGAAACCGATGGGTTTCCATTAGTAGTCTGTGTGAAGTTTACCACGGAGCAGAGTGTAGATAAGGTATTTTTTAGGTTGGAAAATCTTAAAAAGAGAGAGAGACTGTGGTGAACATGCCTAATTTCTTTTTCCAAACTTACCAGTCACTGGTCCTTACAAGAGGAGTGAATAGCAGGTAAGAGAGAGAAGACAGGAATGTTACTCTTTGGAAGTCCTCTCATATGGAAACATGAAAAGTGGGAAATAAGTGCTACCTTATGCAACATCCACCAGCTATTGGTTCTCTTAAGTCATTGATCTCACTTTTTATAGGACTACTTTCAATGGAAATGTTCAGTGACTCATAAGTGAGAATAGGATGCAACTCTCCAATCATTGTATCTAATGATCAGCATATCCACTTAGCATTCTGCTGTTCTTATTTAACCTATGCACCCTTACTTTCTGTTGGTGTTTTCTTTCATGCAATATTTTAAAACCCACTTTAGATGTATTTTTTTATCTGGAAAGCTTAAGTATATATCTCTAATAATTAGGAAAGAATCCGGTAATCTTAAAAGGAAAGTTTTGGGGAAGGTCAATGAAGGTAATGCAACTCATTGTCCTCCCACCTTCTTGGTGCTCATTGAATTACTTGACCACCTTAAAGCTACTACTTTTATATTTATTTCTTCCCATGCTTGGCACTGTTACGCACTGGTGTTTGTTTATTATGTATTTCTGTTTATAGGATTAAAATCATATTTCTTAATAAGCAAAATAGTATTTGTCCCCTGATTTCATTAGTTGTAGTCTTTCATGAGATTTTCTTCACTTCTTAATACAACATTTTGTCTTCATTTTGTTGTTCCTATTTCCTTGTGTGTGTGTGTGTGTTTTTGTTTTTGTCTTCTAAACCACTAAGCAGTGGGAACCATGATTGTCTGTTTTGGCAGGGAAGGAGAAATAGAAGTAAGGCAGGAAACTGACACTTCAGTTAGGCTAGGACAAAGAAGGGAGGGATCAGTAGAGAAATGGGTCTCCTGCAGGAATGATGGTTGGGGTTTCAAATGTGAAATGACAGTGGAGTTGTAGTCAAGAAATGGTGCTTTTTAAGGACAGTTACAGGTTGACTGCTCCAATCGAGGACTTCTCATGGGACTTAATTTTTCATTCAATAAGGTTAGGATTATTTTAGGAGTTTTTATTAATATCAAACTTTGGACATACAGAGATACTGTTCATGGCATTTGAATATGAAAATTTATTTAAAAATTTTCTAACAACAAAGTTTTCACCCATTTATTTTAGGTACTTTTATAGACAACTTCTGCTCTTCTACAGCAAAAATCCTGCTATGATGGAAAAATCAATATTTTGCACAGAGCCAGCTTCTGATCTACTCACTCTCAAACAGAGTATCAACATTTACTTCTATATGAACCAGTTGCCTAAAGGCTCAGCCCAGATTAAGTCACAGTTGTAAGTGTTATGGAAGTTGTTTTTTTGAAAGCAGCTAGGATGGCCAATATCACATATAATGAATCCCTACAAAAATAGAATACATATATTCATGTTTATCCATATTATCCCTCCAGTCTTGAAATGGTGTTACAGACTGCAAGAGGTCACAAATTCTCTCTCACTGTTCCACCCTTTCTGATCTATTACTATTACTTAAATACTCCATGTACTTTCTTTTTCTGTGCTGTTGAATCTCTTCTTTCTAGTTTTAAGACTTCACAAACTTTAGAAAAGTATTGATTTATGCACTCTTCACATGTGAATACAGGAGTTAAGGAATGCAGTTTGTTTTCTGGTCAATCTATGGCCAAATCTTAATTACCCTGATGAATGTGTAGGATCAGTTAGCATGAAATTTTTAAATGCAGACAAGCACAAAGAAGAAAATAAAATTCACTTCATCCACCATCTAGAGATAACCATGGTTAATATTTTTTAGGCATACTTTGTTAGAGATGAATTTTGAATACAAATTGTTGGTTTTCTTTTCTAATTCTCTCATTTTATAGTTTTTAAAAATTGTCACTTAGAAAATAAACTATGGTAGGGACAAAGATTCTGTTTTCCTTTGATTTTAAGGGATGTAAGGAATAGCAATGAGACAGGGACCATGGGCTTAGACAGAGCAGGGTCAGGGCCTCTGGAAAAAACAGAAATAATCCATTGTGGGATTTGCTTTGGCCTGCTGCAGGGCCCAGTTTATTTTACTGACTTTACCCAGGTGCTGCTTTTCTTCCTCCAGCCCTAATCAAGTAATTTGCCACCTGGGCAATTTAACAAGCAAGCCCAAAACAAACAGGAAGGATTCCATCTTGAAAATAAGATTGCATTTAAAAACCCAGTTTGTTAAAAAGTAACTTTCTTAACATACTCTTTAACAAACAGACAATAACTCAGCCCACCTTGGGAGCAAAGCAGGCAGTCTTCAGTGATATGCTGCCAGACCAGGAAGCTGCTATCCTGGGAGGAAATCAGAGCAGTAAATTTCTTGTAAAATAACCAGGAAGGCCAATAAGAAACTTAATGTCTCTTCAAACATAAACATTTTGGGACCACTTAGCAGGTGTGCATCCCTAGCCCTTTGTCTCTCACCCACCTATAAAACCTCTAGACAATGTACCACCCCCACCCCCACCCCCACTCTCTTGTTCCCTCCTGGTCTGAGCCAGGAGCTCTGTCCTCTCACTTTATCTCTAAATAAAAGCCTCTGCCTTGCTGTCCTACCTTGAGTGTTTGCGAAGTTCATTCTTCAACTCCAGGAATAAGAACCCCAGGATCAACGATAGTATGAAATATATCTTTTAAAAACTTTCTGCTTGGTGTTAGCCTTGTGGAACCAAGTTGCTCCATCCTACCTTGCTTTAGGTTCGTATCTGTTTATGTTGCTGGAATTAGGTATACATCAGCAAGTTAAATGTGTTTGAAAACAACATGTAGATTTAATTTTGTCAATTTTGTTTTTAAAATGAAGAAACTTTATTTTCTTTCTCTAGGCGTCTTAATCCACATTCTGTATCTGCATTTGAAGCCAATGAAGAACTAAGTCTTCATGTGGCTGTTGAGGGCAAAATTTATCTGACTGTCTACTGTCCTGCAGATGTTAATAGAGTAAGCAGTATGTCCTCAAGTGACAAACTGACAAGATGGGAAGTACTTGGTGTACAGGGAGCATTGCTGAGTCACTTCATACAGCCAGTTTATATCAGCAATATACTTGTTGGTAAGTGGAATTTCAGGACTGCCTGGCCTCTTTCATATAATGAATAACACTATTTTATTTATCAGTATGAAGTCAGATTTTGCATACATGAAGCTTTATTTAAAAAACATATCCAGTGTTTTATTAAGCTTTTCACTTCATAGTAACTTGTAAACACACTTAGTATAATATGACTTTGTCATTTTTTCAGGAGGCCAAGAATTATATTTTCAGTTAGTCAGTAAGATGTGTTCTGTCTTGAACTTTTATTTTTGTTTGTGCAGTATTTTTTACTCTTTATTTTAGAAGAAGCTGTCTTGTTGAACTTGTCAAATCTGAAAGTTTATATTTAGTTATCCCTGAAATAAGAAAAATACTAAATGCCCATTTCTCTACCTTTTTTCCTTTTTCCTACATTTGTTTATGATCTGGATCCTTTTGATTTGTCAAATGAGGTAGTAACTAGAACACAAATAATGTAAAATTATCAATTTACTTTTTTCTTACAGAACAATGTATTATATATTTTAATGGTATTCCAGACATTAGCTCACTGGCAAAAAGTTTGGGAGCTCATCTTTATAGTTTTCATAAATTCTTAGGTGTTTCAAAGCATTAGTTACCCTTGTGAAACAATTTAAATATGACCATTACTGGGCTCTTCCTTGATTAGCATTTATTTTTTGGTAATGACTGCACATACAAGCTTCTATATCCTCATATAAGTAATACTTCTGCCTTTAGGTGATGATATTTCTGTTATTTTTTTCTTTTTTTTGAGGGCAGAGTTCTGTATATATTATACCCATTTCTACAGGAATTTCTTTTATAAGTAAAATTTTTTCCAGTTTCTTATGGTACAGGATATTGTATTTGCTTGTCATTTTTCTTTGGCCTTAATAAATTGTAAAAAGTAAAATACTTATTTATTTTTCTATTTTTTTAATAATAGTGCTATTTTTTTGTGTATGTAGGAAATACATGTTTCACAATTCAAAAGTTTCAAAAGGGTATTCAGTGAAAATTCTCCTTCCCATCCTAGTGCATCTGTTTTACCTCTTGGCATCCGTTGTTATTGGTATCTTGTTTTCCTTTCCAAAGATAGTTTACATTTATAGAAGTACAGTTGACCCTTGAAATGTTATAGAGATTAGCGACAATCTGAAAAAAATATTTTCTTTAGCTTACTTTACTGTAAGAATACAGTATATAATATGTAATTTATAAAATATGTATTAATTCCTGTTCATGTTATCAGTAAGGCTTCTGATCAACAGTAGGTTATTAAGTTTTTGGGAATCAGAAGTTATACATGGGTTTTCAACTATGTGGGAGGTCAACTGTAAATGCATACCTTCTCTTTTTGTGTTTTACGTGAATCAGATCATACAGTTAATAACTTTTCTACATCTTTCTTTTTAATTTAACAATGTATCTTGGAAATTTTAATGTATGAGTATATGAAGATTCCTCGTTGTTCATGGCTCCCTGTATGGTATTCCTTTGTATAAATGTATCAATTTAACCAGCTGTAGTTTGGTGGAATTTTTAGATTAATAATATTGGTTATTCACACATGTAAAAGTATTAAAGATGAATTCTAAAAGTAGAATTGCAGGTCAATGATATATGCATTTTCAATTTTGAAATACATTACCAAGTTAACCTCCAAATCACATTCCCACTAGAAATACATGAGAGCCACCTATTTAGTCTCACCTTCAAAAGTGGTTATTTCTAATTCTACTTTTTCCAAATGCTGTATATATTTTTTAAATGCTGTATTTCTCAGATTTAATTTGATTTCTAAAGTTCTTACTGTGTTTTCTTTTAGCCAATTCATGTACTCTCTCAGCACTTTAAACTTTTCTCAGTATCCATTAGGATAAGTTCTTTTTGTTCTTGGTGTCTATCTATAAAGTATCTAAGAAATGTTTATATTTTATCTATATAGTTTTCTTTGATTTTTGTGAAGAAATATATTTTAAAATTAGTATAACTCCATACTAGATTTAGTTTCTTTAAAGAATGAATTTGGATTCTTTTAAAATGATTTAGTATTTAGTTAGTGGATTGGGACAAGAACTTAAAAATTAGATTTCATCACCTTGTCATCTTGCACTTAGCATGAGGAACACCTGGTAGCAATCAAAACACTATTAAAACTTAATTAAATTGCTTCTGCTCTCTTTCTTGGCATCTTTGTGGGACACATCTAAAGCTAATTAACTGGTGTTATGTCTGTATAACCTGAATGCTTTTAGTGTGTTTAAGCTAATTGTAAAAAATTCAGATTTCTGGGTCTCATAAGACCTCCACTGTATGTCTTGGGTGGGTTGGGGGAGGGTATGAGTTTTGAGGCCCAGGAATACACATTTGAAAAAAGCACCACAAGGTGATTCTGATACAGATGATGTGACAGGTTCACCTTGAGAAATATTCATGTAAAGTGTCTGTACACTGGAAGAGTGTGATTTGGGCTGCTAAGAGAATCTTAGGAGTTCATTGAACTTCATTAACCATTTAGTTCAGCTTCTCACTTAATATAGAAACTCTTTTAATACCATTCCTTATAAAGGATCATCTAACCCTAAGGTAATTAGTATATCAGTTACAAATGGAGAGAATATTATATTTCAAGACTGCATTTTTCAAAAAGTTTGCAGAAACAAACTCTGTATTGTAGATGTTGTCCAAAGTTCATTTTGTCATTTTATGGTGGTAGTTTTTAATTTAGAAAGAAGTCTTAGGCTTGCATTGCAAAAAGCATTTGCTATTATGTGAATAGAAAATGATATCCAAAGCAATCTGGAAAAAACTCAGATATTAAAAATAGCTGGATTTATATTAGTTTTCAAGATTTTTAAGGTACATTTGGCAAATTTGATATCCTATTAGGATAAGGTAATCTCTCTAAATACTTGAATGTTTGTCCAGAGTTATTTCCATCCAGGAGTCCTTTTCGTATGCCAATCTGAGTTGCATACTTGGATGTAGAGAATACCCATCACTAATTCCCTCCTCCTGAGCTATTTTAAACATAGTTTATGGACTTTTAAGAAACTTTTCTTAACCTTAGGATTTCTGCTATCCATTCTTTTAGTTTTCTTTCTTCTTCTTTTCTTTTTTTCACAACAGCAATATGAGGTTCAGAATGTTAATAAAATACTTGCCCCATTGCGTGTTGGTAGGGCCCAGACTCAAACCCAGTTTTCCTGATCTGTCAGGCTGCTGCATTTTTTTTTTGATTTTTGAAAAGTATTTATTTACATACAATGGAAATATGCACTCTTTTTGGTGCATAGCACTGTAAGTTTTAACAAAGGCATGGAGTCACATAATCAAGAGACAGAACAGTGTTGTCAGGCTGCTGCTTTTTGTATTAAATTGAGCTTGGGCAGCTTTGTCTAAGCACAGCCAGTGGCTAGAGTTGGCCTGCTGGGTCTGCTGGACTTGACACTCCAGAAGGGTTTGTCACTTTTGCCTTGGTCTTTTTTGTGCTAGGAGGTCAGTAAACATTTTGTGAACAAATGCTTTCAGTCAACACGTTTTATTTTTGGAAGTGCTTTTACTTTTCTACTTAATACTAATTCTGCTGTTTGAACACCCTAAAAATAATTCTTATCTATTCTTTATTCTCATTGTACTTTAGGTTTACCTGGGAAGCTTCTAAAATAATACTGGAATGGCATTGGTACTAATGTCCCAGTCCCTAGTAATTCTAATGTGCATCCAAGATTGATAATTACTGCTCTCTGATACCTAATCATTTTTTTTATTTTGGTGTCATTAATATCAAATCACATGAGCAACTTGGTGGTTACTAGATTCCCCCATTATCAAGTCCCCACATACCCCATTACAGTCACTGTCCATCATTGTAGTAAGATGCTATAGAGTCACTACTTGTCTTCTCTGTGCTATACTGTCTTCCCTGTGCCCTCCCTCTGACATTATGTGTGCTAATCATAATGCCCCTTAATACCCTTATCCCTCCCTTCCCACCCGTCCTCCCCAGTCCCTTTCCCTTTGGTAACTGTTAGTCCATTCTTGGGTTCTGTGAGTCTGCTGCTATTCTGTTCCTTCAGTTTTTGCTTTGATCTTATGCTCCCCAGATGAGTGAAATCATTTGGTACTTTCTCCGCCTGGCTTATTTCACTGAGCATAATACCCTCTAGCTCCATCCAAGTTGTTGCAAATGTTAGGATTTGTTTTCTTCTTATGTGCCAGAGTCCAGCTCCAGCAGGGTGGGGTGGGTGTGAAGCCCAAAAGGATGAGACGGAGTCGGTGCATGGAGAGACAGGACACAGAGTCAGATGGAGGTGATCTCTTGACAAAGTGTCGATGACAGCTTTATTTATACCATTTTGCACAAGGATATGATTATTTTTTATTGTTCTGATGATTAATTAGTATAGGCAGTTGGTTAATAAGTATAGGCAAGCTTTTTTCTTTCTTCTCCTTTCTAATCTATTCATGGTTGGTCAAGCGTTAGACAGGTGATTGTTTTTCTGTTTCTTGACCAAAACTTTTCCTATCAACATGTACACTATTGTGTTTTACGTTTCTATGCAATGCAGTTTCTAAGTAGTGCATGTGACTATAGGAGTGTGCAGTATGTAGCAGCGACTATGGAGTCTACCAGCTCAGGATGAAATACAGGTCACTAGTGCCACAGTTAGCTAGGATTCTTTCCCACAAAAACATTCCTAGAGGCTTTAATACATTTATAATCAATCTAAAATCATAAACTCATATCTTCACCTTATACCCTTTTATAGGGCACAGTAGGCAGCAAATTAAATTTCCCCTACTTATCTATATTTCTCTTTCTTCTGTGTGGATACCAAAATCTCCCTGACATATGCTACACAGGTCTGCATGACTCTACTACTGCAGGGACTAAACAAATTCTTACATGGTGAACAATGCAAGGGCATTCATATCATAGAAACTGTTTCTGTTCAAACTACAAACCTTAAACTATAAACAATCACGTCAGATATAATATATGATTATTC